AGAATGGGACTGTGCTTATAGAAGAGGGTATCTGGACATGCCAAGCACCAGCGGAAAGAACATATGAGAACCAGTGAGAAAGTGGCCACTTGCAAGTCAAGAAGAGAGACCACAGAAGACACCAAACCTGTCCACACTTTGATATTGGATGTCTAGACTTCAAAAGTGTGAGAAATACATTTCTGGAGCCTCCCTGGAGGTGCAAGGGGCCAAGTCTCAGTACTATGAAGCTATCAGCAGCCACTGCAGGACAAGTTCAATCCCTGGCCAGGGAGCTAACCCACATGGCACAGCAGACCTCTCCTGTCTAGCCCACTGCTCCCCTCAGCAGTGTATTTCAGTCAGTCCGCTCTTCTTCTCCCCACTCTGTCTCTGGTGAATCCTCTCACTTCCCTGCACTTCTGGCCTGCACCTCCATTCTTGTATGCATAAATAAATAAATCTTAAAAAAATTCTATTGTTTAAGTCACTTACTCTACTATGCAGCCCTAGAAAATGAATACGGAGGGGAAAAATAGTAGATAAAGTCAGAGAAAAATAGTTTGGGCAAGGAAGATGGAGGAGAATTATGTTGTGGGACTTTATAGGTCATTGTAAGGATTTGTTTTCGTTCTAATGAAATGGAAGTTTTGGAGCAAGTGACTATTATAACCTGACTGTTACCTTTATGGAAATTAGGAATTGCTAATGCAGGAGTATTGATAAGGCAGCCAAAGTTGTAAGCTCTCTGCATGAGAGAAAGGGCAGAAAAAGTAATGAGGCTGAAGACATTGGAAATGCTTCTTCCCTTCCATTTTACAACTGAAAAACCTGTATATCTAAAATGAGAATACAGAATTAGAAAGTGAAATGCCTAAGAGGATACAGTAATTGTGCAGTGATTCCACTCTCAGGAACAGGATCAAGTGCTTTACTATTTTGTGTTGGAGAGAGATGCATTTGGTTTCTTATGTAAAGAACATAGATTTGATTGCCTAATATTTTTGGGGAGGCTGGATTTATCCTTGTGAGCAGATATTAACACTCGAGTGACTTCAGTGACCGTGGAGTACACTATGACACTTTCAGCTGCCCACCCATGTCTGTGATTCAAGGACACTGAGTTTGAAAGACTGGCAGGAGCAAGTGGAAATTATTCATGGGCTCCAGTCACAGACCGTGTTTCCACAGATGTCCTTCATGGTAGATCATTTCACTGATAGAACAATTTTCAAGGATGATGATAGTAATGACTGAGCCTAAATTGTTTTCCAACATGCTAGGAACAAGAGGCCTTCTGATTCTAGATTAATAAAACAATATATATATAGGTGTATACACACACCAATATACATACATATCCATACATGTATATATGTGTGCCATATATACATGCCATACACAGATACAGTTATATGCATATAATATGTATATGCACAGTATTCTCTATATATGCACAAATATATAATGCATAGTATATGAGTATTGGGTTATATATATGCTTCAGTCTTCTAATTCTTTTAAGTTTGTCTTGTTCCATTTTGAACAGAAGTGGAATCTGATTGTTTTTAAGGTTACTTATTCTTCTATGCAAAAATCATTTAGAGAAGACAAAAGTGGGAAGACCAGTTGATACTTATTATTGTGGTCTTAGATAACAGTGATCTAGACATATGTTGTGATATGTGTGATGGTAAAAGGTAGAAGGAATTGAAATATGGTTGAAGAATACATTGACCACATCAAGATCCTAAAATAACTCGAGACTTTTTTTATAAACTGATTTCAATTTTCTAAATAACTGTGAATCCAATTATGGTGTTGTGTGGTCAAGTCTATACTTTTATATCTTGCTTACAAGAATAAACCCCCCAGATCCAGGACCCTGCTTACTGGGCACAAAATTGGCATTTATTGAGAAACTTGGAAAAATTCTGTTGTTTAAGTCACTTACTCTACTATGCAGCTCTAGAAAATGAATACGGAGGGGAAGAATAGTAGATAAAGTCAGAAAAATAGTTTGGGCAAGGAAGATGGAGGAGAATTATGTTGTGGGACTTTATAGGTTATAGTAAAGATTTATTTTAATTCTAAGCCACATTATACAGAAAGCTGGGCATCACCAGACTTCACCCAGGATCCAAGGAAAAATTCTTATTACACCTTCCATATTTTCATGCACTTCATTTGTCAAGATGTATACACCAGAATTAGGTAAACAGGACACAGATTTCCTCATTGGGAGAAGAGCCACACATAAAGAACACCCAGATGGCGATATTGTCTGGGACACTGTAAGGTAGAAAATTCCTGTTGCTTAACAAAGACTTTTAATTTCACCTTCAAGAATGAGATAGGACCTTGAATTCACTCTATTTTAAATGTGGTATGGATGTGTGCACCACATGTGTACATGCTTGTGTGTACATAGCTGTTATCTGGTGAAGAAAACTAAGTGCCAAAAGCTATGTTAGTAACACTTGACAACATGTGACTGAAACCTTTGTCTAAATATCTCACCAGAGTCCAAACAAATTCAATGACCTATGTCAGATATTTTTTTGAGTGAACAGAAGTAGTAAAATGTGGGAATTTGATGCCAGGGGAAAGAGTCGAATCCAAGGGAGAAAAGAGAAAAGAGGTGGATGAGTTTGTAACCTCATCAGATGTTCTGTACTCAGCTGGATCTGACCCAGTAAGAGAAAAGGCAGCCGAAGCATCCTTGCCATGCTTGGTTATGAATGCAATTTTTAAAATTGTTTTTTAAAATCTCAAGTTTCATGCAAAGCAACTTCCTTTTCAGACAATTTGTATATTAGTGTTAGCAAATAGCTTTTTATTGGCAGAAATCTGGAAAAATGGCTGAGAGCAGATCTTTTCAAAGAGAATTCTAAGAGAACAAAGAGCTGAAATGAACAACTCATGAAAATAGAAGGTCTTTCATGGAAGGATCCAATTGGATGTATTCAATTAATCCATGATATTCACCCTTCATGCCTATATATGGTACCTACTGTGTGCAAATATTTATGAATTAAGCCTAAAGTTTGGAGAAACAAACATTCCATGAACAAATGGGTTTGAAAGTGCTACACCCAGCATCCCTTTTTATAGACTCACAACACATATTAACCTACTAAAGTCTCTTGGAAGACTTAGAGTAAGAAAAACTATTTTTTTTAAAAAACTAGCTTTTCACTAAAATCTTTGACCATGAACTCTTCTTTAGAAAATATTAATTAGTATTCTGAAGAAAGACTGCTGTATCCGATATAATTTTGAGGCAGCAAAGCTGATCTGACAAACAAGGATTTGAAAAGATGACTGTGTTTTAAAGTTCTCATTCCTTTTCATCAAATCATCTGAAAAAGAAGTTGCCTTGCCTGAGAGATGTGGTTTTATAAAACATAATTTTAAAAATTGCATTCATAACCATCTCATCACCAGTTATATCTGGTGACAGATGTTAACTAGATTTATTGTGATAATCATTGTGCAGTATATGCAAATACCATGTCATTATGTAGCACACCTGAAACTAAAATAATATTGTATGTCAATTATACCTCAATAGCAAAAGAAGAAAATGTGGTTGTGGCATCACACTGCACCCTGGTTTAATTGAATCCATACCACAAAAACATTTTATGTTTTCAAGTTCAATTGGTTTAGTGTATGAGCTGATTCGTAGGTTGTAAGCAGAAAATAATTTTCATTTTGCTCTGTCCTTTCAAATCTGATATTTGGGCAACTCATTTACAATCCCCAGGTTCTAGCAACCAATAATACCTCAGGCTTTTCTCCATTGGCTTTTTTGATTACCAATAGGCAAGTAATGGATGAAAAACATGTCTTTTTCAAGCTAGTAAAAAGTCTAGCATAGTAGAAAGCAGAATCCCTGTAACCTCGGCTGTTATCACTCAGGTTGGAAACCTGGGGATAGGAGAGGTCTGATGGGTTTCCGCCCTTTGTCCTTTCTGCATCTCCCTCCTCTTTTCTTGCTGTGAGTTCTGAATGTCTAGGGGAGATTAGACAAGATCGTGGGAAGTGGAATAAACTTGACTGGTGCTGTTATAATCTGTTATTGCCATCCTCTGAGTACAGCTGGATATCCCAATGGGTATTTCTTTCATTGGCACTGGGTGAGTTTATTTTGTTGAAGATACTTCTATTGCCTGCATTGCATGGTGTCATTGGTAACAATTCCACTGCCTCCCGTTGTGACTTCTCAGGCTAGCCATTTGCAACTAATTCTCTTGGCTTCTGGGGGTATATTCCCTTAATGGGCTCACATTCCCCTGTAAGCAATCTCTCTCAAGATGACCCAATCTACCTTTCTTGAGCAGAATCCTTATTTACCTACTGGACCCTGGAAATGCTATATTCCCAATGTAGCTCTGTTGTAGACACCAGAAATGGGTAGTTCAGGCCATAGTCCCCTTGTTTTCATGTATGAGTTGGATATCAGCCCCTGTCTCCTCAAAAACAGAAGATACATTTTAAGCTCTCCAAGTGGTTGCACTGATGTGGTGATATACCTCTCTTTGGTTTATGTTAAGGGAGAAATGTGCCTACCTAGGGTGAAGGTTGAGGATGGGGACCCTTAAATTGATAACAGTTTTCAAAGAGTCCTTAGTGCCAGCTTCTTTAATATCATTCTTGATAGATTGGAGGCTTCCAGTGTGATAACAGGGGTAGAACTACTTCCATAATCTCTCTCAACAGATCCCTTTACAGGTGAACCATCACCTGGCTTTAGAATGTGAAGCTTCTCATACCTTTCATGAAGTTCCTAGACAAGAGGAAGTGCATTTAACTTCCACTGCACTTAGAGATCAAGACACACTGACATCTTTTGTGAGAAATAAAGTAAGAGGAACCAAAGCTGAATAACTAGCCAGAGATATAACCACTGAAACTTAATCTCTCTCTCTCTCTCTCACACACACACACACACACACACACACACACACATACACACACATGCTCACAACATAAGACCTACAAAACAGATGGAGAGTATGTTTTATGCACCCTTTATTAGTTTCATAGGGTGAGTGTTACAGCCATTAGAATGTGGACAGAATTTTACTTGTACAAGGCTCGCTTTGCTCTGTTGCCCAGTTCATGGCCAGCAGACAAATTAATTTCCCCAATAAATTCTTATCTCTGCATAGGCTTGTAGTTGTCCTTTGGTTTTGTTGTGTTTGACTTCACAACAATGCCCTTGTTTGCCAGCCAACTCCTGTTGTCAGAACTGGTTCCTAATGAGCACAAAGATATCAAGGTTACTAGCAATGATGAAAGAGAACTAAGAGTCCCAGTTAAAAAAACAAAAAACAGTTCATATTGAATGTCAATTCTCTGACCCACCATCAAGGATTAGCTGTGTGTTTTATTCAGTTAAAACTCACACAACTGAAATTCTTAAATTTGTTTACAATGTGCTAACACAGTGACTCACAATCATGGTTACATGTCAGAATATTTAAAAATTCCAATACTCAGACTGCAACCCACTCTCGTTAAGTCAGAATCTTTGCTTTCTACACAGTACCAATGCTTTTAAAACTCCCAGGTTTTCCAAAGAACAGCCAAGATTGAGGTGTCACTGCTAACACCTTTGCCTGATATGCATCTTCTGCTTGTTCAGAGCAGAGCAGAGCAGAGCACATAATTAAAATCCTTATGAAACTCCATCCCACCTGTAGGTAGAAGACATGAAGGTGCATTGTCTAGACTATCCTATGCTTGGCTTTGCTTGCTCAATGCCTCCTGAAAAGTTGGATTAGATCCCGTCATTGGAAGATCAAGAGTTCCAATGACAACATTCTTATTGCTTTGTTTCTCTTGAAAACTCGGCTACGAAGGCAGCAGCTGTGATTTCTCCCCATGACAAGCAGCTGCTGCAGGTCAGCCTCAGTCTGCATTAGAGCAAAACTGGGTTTCCCAGTTTTTCCCCAAGGCTTATCCACTGGAGTTTGCTGTCTGGCCCTGATAGGCAGAATACTGGACACCTGCTATTGTCCAAGTTTGGAGAAGTCTTTTAAATCGTGGGCCCTTCCATTTCAAATGCAAACAACTGCAACATACATCAAAGAAACTTCTTTGGTCTGAATGGCTCAAACAATCTCAACCCCTGGGTTGTTTATAAGGTTATTCAGTTTCTGTCTTGTATTCTCTGTCAACCCATTCTCCCCCTACGTTTGTTCTGTTCTTTTGCTTTAAAAAGCAAAACAAATTGAGACTACACATCTATTCTCTGAAGATCACAGCTTCTTGAGGCTGAGAGCCAGATGCTGATTTGTTTTCCATCTAGAGCTGTACATACAGAGAACTTCCTCAATGCAAGGCCATTCTGCTTTTGTCCTTCCTAGAGCTGAATGCACGGCTAGTCAGCAGTGGAGCTGAAAATAGAACCCAGAACTTTCAAATCATTGTTCTGCTCGCCGGACTGTGTTTCCTCCCTTAAAGACGTGACTAAACAATGTCCTGTTTTGCAAAAGCAGAAATCATAATATATGTATGAGAAATGGGATGCAGGAGAAGCACAGGCTCCACCCTTGGGAAAGATGGCACTGTCACATAAAAGGAGTGTGAATTCATTTCTAGCACTGCATCTTATAGGTTGGATGCACTCAAGAAATGTGTTGAATCATCGACTCTGTAATGTGTGGCATTTTGAACAAGGAGTTCTCTTTGAGTGCCAAGAATGTAATTGCTTGACAACCCACAGAAAGGAAATTTAGAACACAAGAAAGGTTATCATGAAAATGACAGGACCTATATATAAAAATGGTCAGGGATCTGGGGGGGACTTTCTAGTATCAGGTAGCAAGTGTCATAGGCAGGAGCCAGAGGTTTGGTGACACTGATTCTTAACTCAGGGTATGTGTGTGGCTCATGGGAAGATCAGAAAGCAGATCTGAGTGATAGGGGAACTGGGAGTAACTGATACCTTCCCATGCTCCCTGGAGGACTTCAGTACTCTCTTTTTGTGCTGCTATTTTCTAGAGGTCTTGGTTCTCTTTTAGGCTTGGCTACACTGCCATTGGTTTCTGTGAGCTCCCCGAGGGCAAGAACTCTGTGGTTCTATTCCTGTGGCCATTCATGGTCATACTCACCTTGTCCCAGGGGGCAGCAGAACAGAGCCTAGAATCAGACTTTCTGAGTTTGAATCCCCAGCTCTCCGGTATTCCAGCTTTGAGATTTTGGACAAGTAGCTTTACCTCTCTGTGTGGCAATTTCTGCATTTGTAAAGCAGACATGATAAAAATAGGTCTTATCTTAATGGGTCATGAAAATTAATTTTTAAATGAAGAAAAATTTTATGAAAATTATTAAATGAGTTCCTAATTGTGAAGTACTCAGAACAGTATTTGGAACATTATAAAAATTAATTTACTGTTAGTTATTAGAGGCCATTAAATGCATAATTTATGAATGGACAGTCTAGCTAACAGAATAGTTAAAATGTGCTGCATGACTTGATAAGCACATCTCGTGGATTACTCCCTTTCATATTAAAATGAGGTGCAAGAGACAACTACTCCTATCACTCCTTATTATAGTGGGGGCACTAAGGCATAGAAGTGTTGAGTAACTCACTCAAAATCATGCAGTCGTGAGTGAGACAGGGAGGATTTTTTTTTTTTTAACTCTGCTCATTTAATGTATTCATTCTCTTGTAAATATCCAGTATTATTTATTTATTTATTTTTGAATTTTATTTTTATATTCCCCATACAATTGCAACCCCCTTATTTTGACCCCAATCTCTCCTTACCCCACACCCCCACCCCTGCCATAGTGTGTCTCTGGTTCACAGTTATTTGTTGATTTTGATTTTTTCTTTCTTATAGTTATTCTTTTTCCTGGTCCTTTATTTAGGTTTTCTAGATTCCTGCTATGAGTGAGACCATCCGGTATTTTTCTTCTTCTTTCGGGCTTATTTTGCTGAGCATGATCCCTTCCAGCTCCATCTATGTTGCTGCAAATTGCATGAGTTTATCTTTTTTGATTGCTGAGTAATATTCCATTGTGCATATGTACCACATCTTCTTGATCCAGTCATCTATTTTTGGGCATTTGGGTTGTTTCCAAAGCTTAGCTATTGTAAACAGTGCTGCTATAAATATAAGGGTGCAGGTGCCCTTTGAAATTAATGTTTCTGTGTCCTTTGGGTAAATACCTAGGAGTGGAATTGCTGGATCATACGGAAGCTCTATGTTTAGTAGGTTGAGGAATCTCCATAGTGGTTGGACCAGTTTGCACTCTCACCAGCAGTGCAGGAGAGTTCCTTTTCCTCCACATCCTCGCCAACATTTTTTGTTGCTAGTTTTTTTAATATGTACCATTCTCACTGGTGTGAGATAGTATCTTATCATAGTTTTGATTTGCATTTCTCTGATTGCAAGTGATGGTGAACATTTTTTCATATGCCTGGTGGCCATTTGTATTTCCTCTTTGGAGAAGTTTCTTTTTAGCTCTTCTGCCCATTTTTTGACTGGATTATTTTCTTTGTTTTTGTTGAGTCTCATCAGCTCTTTATAGATTTTTGTGATCAGTCCTTTATCATTGGTGTTGTGTGCAAAAATTTTCTCCACAGGGAGGATTTGAAACTAGACAGTGATTACACATCTCTCACCCCTATACTGCCAATCACGTATGCACTTGCTAGAAGGAACACTAAGGGGAAAGCTACTTTATGATGTTCTCATGAGGTTCAAATATAATTTATTGATACCTTGAAAAAGTAGTGAAAAAAGTATACATGTGTGATGAGGCTGATGACAAATAGACATGAGAAACCCTACTCACTTGGCCTGATTTAGCATATCAAAAGGTGATCATATGAATAATTGGCCTTCAAAATCAAATAACAAGTGAAACCAGTCATTTTGATACACAGAAATGCAATTTGATATGAGTGTCACCTACTCAAGGTAACAGTCATTGAATAAATTGACAATTGACAAAAGAGCTTCTTGAGAATGGAGTGGCATGCTGTTTTGCTTGGTTTCTTTGCTCAAATATACTTAGTTTTAATTTATTTTATTTATTTACATGCCTTATCTCTTAATAGTTTCCCCAGGCATGAATATGAAGAAAAATGATGATATATTTTTTCTTCAAAGTAACTATTTGTTTTGCGGGGGAAGGGATGACAAAATGGATGAAGGACATCAAGAAGCACAAACTTCCAGGTACAAAACAAATAGTCAAGGCGATGTAATGTAGGGTTTGGGGACTGTATCCATTAATATGGTATTGAAGATTTGAAATAATAGTAAATAGACTTAATGTGAGGATCATTTGCAATGTATGCTAACACTGAATCATGTGTTCTACATCTGACACTTCCAACAACAAAAAATACACATATGTTGCAAAAAAAAAGAAAAGAAATCATTTGGCGTATTCTGGTTTTGTAGAAAGCAAATAAAGCTTGAGGTTGGGAGATGAGGCTTCTCATCCTTTAGAACATGAATTGAGTTTCCCAGCCGACTTGCAGTTCAGATTTCTCTACTCAAAAATGGCGCTTTGGATAACATTGATCATAAAAGTCCTAGTACCTTTAGACATCTTTGATTTCTCTCCTGGGAATTTTTATTTTAGTATAATAAATATTTCTCAACATTTTTCAAATCAGATTATTTCACAATTAAAACACAGTAAATATAATCTTTTGTCTTCCTACTCTCCTTTTAGTTCTTATAATCATTAAATTGACAATGTTTCTTAGAATTAAATAAAAGCCCAAACATAAGCAAACAACAAAATGTTCACCATCACAAGCAACAGCTGAAGATATTCCAAAGGGTTGGAGGATATGTATGTGAATGGACTTGTGTTCTGAAAATTAAGAAAAGAGCACTAACTGCGTCATTCCTGCTTAATTTCTTTAAAGTTCAGGCCCTCTTCCAGGGAATGAATTAGTTTATTTGAAGCAGCTATGATCCCTGGGTTTCCCCTGCCAATGGTGACAGCAGCCTATCAGAGACAAAAAGCTTTGGAAAACAACAATAAAAATACCTCAATGCATTTGACCATCTAGTCATATTTCATGTACCTGTGACAGATCTGCATGAACCAAATCATTTCTTTGTGCTCAGCTGAGAATACCAAGGAATACTTCTTTACTCCAAGCAGATCCAAGTGGCAGGACAGCTGCTCTTTGTTTCAGGAAAGGATTGGGCAAAGAATGCCTCAATGGTAGAGCTTCCTGTTTGTAATATCTGATGCTAAGGAACATGCCAACAGTTTCGAAGCTTTTATTAAAGGGGAGATAATTGTTGCTGGGGTACAGTTGTGATGAAAATAAGAACTCTCTCCAGTTGATGTCTTGGTACATCACTTGTGCATAAGACTAATCCTATTATTTCCCTGCTCCTTCAAATTCTCCCTTTTGCCTACCAGATAAAGTCCAAATATTTTAGTATTCTCCAAACTCTACCCAGGATTCCTTGTAGTTCCCTGAACTCACCTGGCTCCTTTGTGCTTGGAATGGTTTCTCCATATCAACACTTGGAAACTCACCTGTCAAGATTCAGCTTATGTGTTACCTCCCATTAGTAGCATTTGGAAGCTTATCAGGCAGGAGAGGAGTCTCTTTATGGTCTCAAAGCATCCCAGGTGTCTTTCTATCCAAGGGAGTCTCAGAACTGGCTGCACTATGGAATCATCTGGGGAGCTATCAAAACACACCAATACCCATGCCCTACTCAGATTTTGGATTCCACTACTTTAGGTTGGGGCCACACTTCTCTATTTAATATGTCCAAGGAATTCTAATGTGTAACCAATGTTGAAACCACTGCTTAATAGACAATATTATAACATAGTGTATTTAAACTTTTGCATTTATAGTTCCTCAATTAAGTTTCTTGAGGACAGACATTATTTTATATTGATATGCATATTATCTGAGAGTTAAAAAATGCCAAGTATCAGAAGTTGCTTAAATCATTTATGAATAATGAATGAAAAGAATGAATAACACACATCACAGCCTCCCACCCACTTAGGTTTAGAAGCTCAGATATGTTCATACAGTTTGTTTGGGTTAAGAAATTATGGGAAATGAAGAATCAACTGGAATTCCAGGGAGCTGGGGACAAAGAATGCAGTCTAGAGAAGTGTCAGAGAATACAAAATATGAAAAAAAAAAGCTGGGAAATTATGAATTAATTAGCAGTGCATTCTAAAATAAAACAGAACCAAGCAATCTGACTTGGGGAGTCACTATGGGAGAGAGACTAAGGCAAGAGTTTCAGGAGCTGGAAGACCAGAAGAGAACAAACAGCTCGCAATGTTGGATACTGGAAGGAAATTAACTTCTGTCTACACTGGGTGGGAAAACAAAGCACACAGAGTTTGTCCAATCGAAACTTAATTTTTCCTGAAGACCCAGGGTCTGAGGCTAAAAGTCAAAGTGTCCTAGAGGGCGTTTGTTGGTCAAGCTTGAGCATTACCAGATGCTGTTGTCTTCTGTCTGTTCTTTGTAGTTTGAGAATGGGATATGCTAAGTGTTTTGTACATGTCATCCTTCTTAACATGCATGATGAAGCTTATGAAGTAGACTTTAATATTGCCAGTTTCACAGGTGAGGACACTGAGGTTTAGAGAAGTTGAGTAAATATCGGTGAGGACACTGAGGTTTAGAGAAGTTGAGTAAATATCCCAATTTACCTGTGCGACAAATGAGAAATATCGTCTTCAAAATGACCAATGAATCTTACTCACCTGATGACCCTCTTTTGGGGGAGACTCTGGAGAAGACAAAGGGATAGTTTAGAATTCCAAGTTCTCAATTCCAAGAACAGTGGTCTATCCCCAAGTCCTGCCAATGAACTATGAGACAACAGCATTTGTGGATGGTCCCTTCAAGTACTTTCATGTTAAAAACTACTTGTTTGGGGCCTCCCCAGTGGTGCAGCGGTTGAGCACTGGGTTGTGAAGCTGCCCACAGCCTCTGCAGCACCAGTTCAATCCCCAGCTGCTCCCCGGCCACTGGAGGAGGGTCCCACATGGTGCGCCGACCTCTCCTGCCGCCCGCTGCTCCCCTCAGCAGTGTACTTTGGTCCTTCTGCCTGCTCTGCTCCCTGCTCTGTCTCTGGTGAATTCTCTCACCCTCCCACACTTGTGACTGTACCCAGTGCATGTATAAATAAATAAATAAATCTTTTTTTTTTTTTTTTTAAAAAGCTTTAAAAAAAATAAAAACGACTTGTTTGGGTGCAAGACCACTAAGTGGTCTGAACAGGAGACAATGCTCTGCACTTATTAACTGCTGGTGAATGTGTTTCCCCCTTTCAGATAAGGAAAGATGACACACTCAGAATTCAATGATTCCGTATGATATAACAATGTTTATATATAAAGTTGGACTGGTTTTTATTTTAATGGATAAACAATTTATTAGTGTCATAATCTGTGAATTGGCTATATTCCATATAAGGTATCATTGAAATTTGAGACTTGAAATATTTGCTTTGCCGTTTTGAGGGGAACTCCCTCTTGCTAAACCTCTCTTTCAACTACTAGTCATCTAGGCAAACTTCTCCTCTGTCTTATCATAATAAAACGTTAGGTTCCAAAACAAATTTATCTTAACTATTAGTCTAACCAATCAGTTGGGTCTGTGTGCATTATGGTATGATGAAGATGCCAGAGATCTAAATTTGCCGAATTCAACTTCCCTTATCAATGAACTGTGATGATTGCTGTCATCACATTGGAATACTTCCTGCTGTTCCAGTCTTCATGCCAAGCACGTTGAAGCTACTGGTTTTTCCCCAGTTCTGCATATAATTCCTGTGGAAACTATAATCATCCAGCTGTAAGAGATACTTGCTTGTCAACATGACAGGAGTATGGACTTGGTCCATTTCTTTGGTTTATTGGGAAAGAATCTGGCTTATGACATTAACTAAATCTGGGTTCAAATCCTGACTCTGCCCTTTGCAAACACTTCCAGAGGCAAAGAAAGCTCAACAAATCTTGATTTTCTTCCTTGTCTCCCTTGGCTGAGAAACAATATACCCTTCTTCCCAGCAGATCATTCCTGTGATCCAATCATATATGCTTTCTGTCCAACACACCCACACACAAAACACATGGTTGTGGATTTTACTCTTTGCTCTTATGTTCTTTCTCAGAAAACCAGGATCTCAAAAAACATTTCTGAGCCATATTTTAAGGTTATTTCCTCTCTCTTTTCCAGGATGGGGATGTCCTTTGACCCCTGGCTTTCTAACACACACACACACACACACACACACACACACACACACTTCTTCTCTCTCAGTCTGTGTCTTCTGATGAGCATTTTCCAAATAATAAATGAAAAGGTGTGTCTGGTCTCATTTCAGAATTTGGTTGGCAATTCTTACCTCACTTTCCAGAAAGAGGCAGTGTTTGTTTTATGAAGATCTCTGGAGAGGTAGTCAAAACAAGGGGCAGTGCCAGACCTTGGGCATCTTCACTCTTGTTCTCTGGTCCTGGGTTTGTGCCTCTGTGTGAGAACATTGTGACAGCTGGCATCGAATGACCATTCCTTCTCTCAAATAGTCTATCTTCTTCCTGCTGACTTACAGGAAAATGAATTCACTGTCTAAAGATAAAAAGTTATTAAGTGGCAAATATTTAGTAAGGGAGCTGGTCTTTATCCACTCTCTTTTATGTCCAGGTTATAAAATTATTATAATTGATTACCTTTCTATCACTCACCTAATTCCATAAAACACATTTCACTCTGTAAATGTACATAGCTGTTTTGCCAGTGGGGATCAGCTGTTTGCTAAGGGAAAGCGCCAGCTTTCTGCTTGCAGACTTGAGATTTTTCTCTGGGCAAATGTTGACTGACTGAGACCAACTTAGCAGTACCCTGTTGTTATCTCCTGAAGGAAGATTTCCAACTTCTCTTTATGTTCTCCAAGTATGGGTGACATGCGCCATGACGATGGAGGAGGAGGGAATGAACATATATGAGTGGGAATAACTGAAAACTAATAGTTCTCTTTATTGTGCCCCTCATGCATGGTATTAAATTTTACATAGTTATCTCACTTCTATTTTACATGACCAGTCTTCACAACAGCCTTACACCTCTTTTATAGCTGAGCACATGGAGGCTCAGAGAAGTTAATGGATTTCCCAAGGTCACGGGGTCTCTGACTAGAAAGCCCATGTTTATTTAAGAACTCTAAATATGTCTATAGTGGAGAGAGAAAAATATTGCTCTGGGACCTGGAGAAATCCTGAAATGTCCTGGATCACTGACACATACCTACCAAAATGGTATGCTTCCTATTTGCAAAGTTTCAAGAAAGGAGCTTATGAACTTGGGAATAGATATAGAAATATTTGACACTGCCATGCCAGGGTGGTTTTGAATCCTTTTCCATTGTAGATATGTAGAAGTAGACATTATAGGAGATGTAATAATAATGGATGCCATAAATGGAACTCATCATGCTCCTGGCTCTGTGTTAAATACTCCATCAGGATTACCTCATCCACTAACCTAATTAGTGCACCACAAGATGGCTACCACTCTGTTGTATCTGTCTATCTATCTATCTATCTATCTATCTATCTATCTATCTATCTATCTATCTATCTATCTATCCATCCATCCATCTATCCATCTATCTATCTATCTGACATGGGCATTAAATAAAGAGGTATCAGTTACTCCAGTGGTTTGGCTTGGGAAGATGAAAATTTGGGTATATCTAAATCTAGTGCAAACTGCTTCTATGGACTCCTTGATAATGCCTCCACACCGTGGGGTAGAATAGGATGCAGGGTGGCCTAGGATCTTTTTTTTTTTTTAAAGATTTATTTATGCATACATGAACTGGGGTTCATGTGTGGAGGGGGGGAGTGGGTGAGAGGATTGACCAGAGACAGAGTGGGGAACAGAACAGGTGGATTGACTGAAATACACTGTTGAGGGGAGCAGTGGGTGAGACAGGAGAGGTCTGCTGGGCCATATGGTTTGCTCTCTGGCCAGCGGGGGATCGAACTCGTGCTGCAGTGGCTGCAGATAGCTTCATAGGTTGCGTCTTAACCCCTTGTGCCACCATGGAGGTCTCCTAGGCTCTCTCTTCTTGAGTCTACACTTGTGTATGATAACTTGAGGAACTTGAAGAAATCCCTCTTGTGAACAGAATGTCCACAACTGACAATACCATTATAGGAAGATCAGCACTGTAAATTCTCACCGTACTTAAAAATCATTAAAAATAGACTTTAAAGGGGAAGAAGGCAAAAGGGGAAATCCCTGTCCCAAATGAGTTCATTTGAACAATAGAGCAATCTTGGTAATTATTTAGAAGGAACAGGACTAATTAGATATCAGAAATAAAACTACAAAGAGAGCCCCTTCAGAAACTGCCTCTCTTGCCACATTTCCCCAAGAGATCACTCATTGCTTACTTTAACAGTTTCAAAATAATATGGAATAGCAAGATCTGCCAAACTAGCTTGATTGGAAGATAAAAAGATTTTCACCAATGGAATCTTTTCAGTTAATTGCAGCATGAAGAAGCCAAATCTAGCAGGTCATCATCAAGAAAAAAATTGTAAATACTGCACTTGGATTTCGCAGTGACAACATTTAGGCTATCCTGCCCTAGACCAAGTTTATTTGCCATATAATGCTGTTATAGAACAACCTCGATATTAAACGGGTTCCTGGCTGTGGGTCCTCACCCACGCGCTTTAAAGAGACTTAAGAATACTCTACTACAGGCACACACAAAAAGGTTAATAAAAAGTTTATTTACAAGAGGAAAGGAAATAAGGAAAATGTACAACTCAGGGAGAAAATAGGGAAATAAAGTCTTTAATGTGTCCTACCCGATCCGACGACCTGGAAACCTAAAGTCACTCTCAGAGCTGGCCGGAGCTGCGAGCTGGCAGAGAGCCAAAAATGGGGTCCCCCAAAGCCCACGTGTCTGGCTTTTATATCCACCTGGCTGCTTAACCCCACCCTCAGGTCCCAGCCACCTTCCCTTTGGTGGTGATGGGATTTGGAGTTCCCAGTGTCTTTGGCTTTGACCTGGGGTGGGGGTGGAGTCCACAAAGCCTTTATGGAATTAGCTTTGGGACATCCTTTTCCCCCTAACAATGCTACACTTTCACATAATGGCTTTCACTTTTAGCTGATATGGCAGCAGATCTTTTCCTGGAAATCAAGTGTGCTTAAAATATAGAATAACCTGATATCAGTGGATTAGAGAGAGAGAGTCAGAGATGGGAAATGAATCACAGTTTACACACAACTCTTACCACTTGTGTTGCAGCTGTGTGGGGTAAAGGGCAGTCAGTGCTCCCCCTGGGCCCTATGGGACCAACTGGCCTTGGAGCATCTGCCAGCTCCTTCTCATCTGATTCCCAACACTCACATGACTTTCTTAAAATGGCGGAAATAACAGCTCCGATGTTTGTACCTGTTATAAAAACATCATCATCCTCAACTGCCAACTCAGGCCCAATGTGTAGAGGTGATTTGGAAAGTGATAGGAAAACAAAATAATTCATTTTTTCAAGTATTACTGGATGTCTACAAATACAGCAGGCATTGTGAAGTATATGGTGTAGATGGAGGAGCAGAACAAAGTCCCTGAAAAGCAAACACTAATGCAAGATCATCCACACTCTGTGCAAGAAGTGTCCAAGGCCAACAGTGGCAATGTATAAAGCAACTGTGTTAGCAGAAGTTTGC